GTTTTGGAAGAAGTGCAACCAGAGTGCTCCTTGGAGGCCAAGATGGCTAGGCTTCGCCTCTCATACTTTGGACACATTGTCCGGAGAGAACAGTCGCTGGAGAAGGATGTCATGTTGGGTAAGGTGGAGGGTCAGAGAAAAAGAGGAAGACCCCAAACGAGATGGATCAGCCAGGTGACATCATAGATGGCGTCAAGTGTGGCAGTGGTAGTGAGGTTGGCCCAGGATCAGACATTGTTTCGTTCTGCTGTGCATGGGGTCACTATGAGTCAGTTCCTACTTGATGGCACCTGACAACAACAACAAATTCTTAATCTCTTTTAGTAGATCCTCTTTTACTCTGGTAGCGTAGTGGTTACGAATCGGGCTGCAAACCTTAAGGCCAGCAGTTCGAAACTACCAGCCGTTCCGCGGGAGAAAGATGAGGCTTTCTGCTCCCATAAAGATTTACTGCCTCGGAAACCCTGTACAGGGTCGCTATGGGTCGGAACCGACTCGAAGGCACTTAACAACAACAACTGTCTCTTGGAAAGATATATTTGAATAAAACAGCCAAATGGTGGTGGTTATATGCCATCAAGTTGCTTTTGACTTATAGCAACTCTATATAGGGTTTTCAAGGGTATAAAAATCTTAATCTTTTTAAGCAGAAAATCTTATCTTTTATCTGCAGAGTGGCTGCTAGATTCAAACTGCTGACCTTGTGGTTAGCAGCCCAATATGTAACCCAGTGTGCTACCAAGAAAACAGCCTTGTAGACCTGGGTTTAGTAGCTGTGACCTTGAGAAATCGTTTTAATTTTTTTGTAAGCATTCACACCCAACAGCTGTATCCTTATAGTGTTGTTTGGATTAAATGAAATAAAAAAGTAAACTCTGTAGCATGCCCTACACTTAATTGTTGTTCAGTGCCATCGAGTTGGTTCCAACCCATTGTGACCCTGCATAGGGTTTCCAAGGAGTGACTGGTGAGCTTGAACTGCTGACCTTCTGATTCAAACGACTTTACAGTCCAGTGCATTAACACATACCGCCACACCAAGAGTCCCCTACACTTGTTGTTAAGTGCTGTTGAGTCAATTCTGACCCATAGCGGCTCTGTATAGGGTTTCCAAGAAGCAGCTGGTGAGCTTGAACCACTGACCTTGCAGTTCAAACGACTTTGCAGTCTGACCCAGTAGCCCATAGTGCCACACTAGGACTCCCTTACACTTAAGAAGTGCTCAAAATTTGTTAGGTACCTTTCTTCTTTCCATCCCCTTTATATTTTAAGGGGTTTCCCTAATATACCTCTCAGTACTGACTTGCCGTAGCTTTTGCAGCCACCCTTCTTTTATTAATTCCTCATTATTTTCATTACCTACAACTCTAACTGGAAGAACACCATGGCAACTGCATTTTCTCTCATAAATGAATTGACAGTGTAGTGTCTTATTGGGACTGGTACAGTAAATATGTTAATGAGTTTTAGGTTATCAGTATTTGTACTTAGTTTTGTTTCTTCTAAGTTCTATCAAATAGCTTGGGGAAGTGACTTCCAAGAAGGGAGAGGTGTGGGAACTAGAATGGAAGACTCAATCCTTCAAATGGAGATTAAAGATAGAAAGGGTGTATAAAAGTTATATGAGAGAAATTCAATTCTGAAAAGGAGAAAATGGTTAAAGATGCAACAAAGATGTTTTTGCAGCATTGGCCTTGCAAAATAAGAGAAGTGCTGTGGCCTCAGTATTAGGAAGGAGAGCTGCCAACTAAAGTCTGTGGTTTGAGCCCACCAGCTGCCCCTCCAGAGAAAGATGTGGCAGTGTGCTTCAGTGAAGATGACACACAACCTCAGGAGAAACCCTACAGGGCAGTTCTACTCTGTTCAATGGTGTGACTGTGAGTTCAAGGGCACTGGGCTTGCTTTTTTTGGTTTTCAGTATTAGGAAGGTCTTCCATTCTGTGTTTAGTCACTTCAGAGAGCTCTTCCAGTCTCTAATCAGATGGAAGAGCTTTTATTTCTTGAGGAGAAAATGATTAGGAGGAGACTTTGCTTTATATAGAAGATAGAGGCTAGGATGCGCTGAGAAGGAGAACAAAAGCTAAACTCAGGAGCTCAGTGGGAATTTTGGATGCACAAATTAACCCTTGCCCTCTGCAAAAGCTCCTTTTGTCATTCTCTGATTGTGTGTCTTCACAGAATGAGCAGAAGCTGCTTTAGCATGTAAATGCAGCAGGGCAGAGACACTCTGGGAGAAGAATGTTGTTAAGTGCCATCGAGTCGGTTCCGACCCATAGTGACCCTGTACAGGGTTTCCAAGGGTGTAAATCTTTACGGGAGTAGAAAGCCTCATCTTTCTCCCGCGGAGCGGCTGGTAGTTTCGAACACACAGCCCGATTCGTAACCACTACGCTACCAGAGCTCCTTCTGGGAGAAGAATGCTGAGGAAGTAATGGCTGGGAACGTCCTGGATTTCCCAGCACTCAGTGTGCAGAGGAAATCTGAAGTCTTCTGTAGTGGCATTAGGAAGGTATCCAAGCTGTGGTGAAGTGGCAGGGGAGTTTCTGTAGGGCCTTTCCTAGGCTGCAGTTTTCTCTTTTTTTTTTTTTTTTTAAAGTTTTGATTGTGAACTGAGTGATATTTGCTTTCATTCCCTCAGGTGTTTTTTGTTTTGTTTGGGTGTGAGGGGGCTTGATGTACACAAAAACACTCAGGAATATATAATAATTTAAACAACCGAAGGGCACATTCTGCAAGCCTTTCCAGGCTGCTTTTTGATAGAGACATTTCTGATACAGGTCCCTCGATAGGCTGCAGGGTTTGGGCACAGTCTTGTGAGTGTACTGTGAGAGAGATCTTGGTCTCTGCCTGCAGACGACTGGACAACCTCAGGAGAAATTCCAATGTGTAGAGACTGCTCCTGGGGACTGCTGCGGTAGATTCTCAGTCCATTCCTCCTGGCTTATTGGAAAGCTGCTTTTTGTCTTCGTTTAGGTCCATGGCTAATGAAACCCAAGAGGTTGGTGGCATCCATTTCCCTTTTCCCTTCACACCGTATCCCATCCAGAAAGAGTTCATGGCAGAGCTGTACCAACTGTTAGAAGCTGGCAAGATTGGGATATTTGAGAGTCCAACTGGCACTGTAAGTATGAACCATCAGGATTAAGAAGGGCTCTGGGGGAGATTGGGAAAGATAGCTTTGCTTGCTATTTACTCTTGGCATATGCAGAAGTTTTTATGACTTGAATTTGGACAGACTCTCAGTTTATCTTTCTGAATAGTATGATTAAATAGTTAAAACTCTGAGAAGATCTGAGAAGAATTAGACTAAATGCGCACAGTAATTTGAATAGCATTGGGAATCTTGACCCATAGCACAGAAACGTCCCATATTTCTCAAGCATCTGGAAACACAACTGTTTATGTTGAGAAACATAGAAATTACTTTGGCTTATTCACAGATTAAACATTAAGATTACTGAGTGCTGGAAGGAGCCGCTGTTTTCCTAAGATCTTCCTTCCTGACATGAGAGGAGGGGGAGGGATTTATTAGAGGTTGTCTGTTGAAGATAAGTAGGGCAGCAATGGATAGTCCCTGACTTCTCTACTGTACTTTGTTACCTTTTGTAGCAAATACTATGTGATAATGATAAATCTGTGGGTGTGAAGGACCCCAGTTGGACTGTGCCATTGTTAGAAATGAATTCCGATGTTGCATAAAAGACACTTGGTGAGACTAAATTATCCTGGCAAAGTAAAATTTACTCCTGCAAGAGGGTGCGTGTGCATAGCTGTACATACACGAACAGGCTAGCGAGCACACAGAGTGGACAGTCTACTCGGGTTTTTAATCCCTGACACGAGTCTCAAGGCTGTGTCTCACCCCATTGGCTAGGGTTTTGACCGCACAGTCTTTTCCCTTACCCAGTTGGCTAGTTCAGATTTTTAAGGCTCACATTCCTACTTTAGGAAAAGAAAAAGAGAGCAATCATAAATCCTTTAATCCAGGAAGTAGTTAAAAGAAAAAGAGAGCAATCATAAATCCTTTAATCCAGGAAGTAGTTAAAAGAAAAAGAGAGCGATCATAAATTCTTTACTCACTTCAGGAAGTAACCAAAGAAAAAGAGATCATAAAGTCTTTATTTCAGAAAATAAAAAAAAGTTTACCCGATACAATAAACAGGATTATAATATATATATATATATATATATTCCCCTCCCCCCATGCCATGAAGGATAATGATAAAATAAATCTGTGGGTGAAGAACCCCAATTGTCTCTGTGCCCCTGTCATCTATCTGGGCTTGGCAAGTTTGACCCACAGTGAGGCCCTTACTTTTGTGTTTGTTGAAAGATTGAATGAATGAGTAAATGAAAGTGACTCATTTCCTTCTCTCGTTGACAGAAGAGTGTCACTCTTTCTTGAAATAACACACAAGTAAGTCTCCTGGGACAGGAAGAGTATAGATTGGGATACTCCATTGCTCCATTTTGTTCTTTAATTTATTGTAAGGTAGGAGAGAACAGTCCTGACATTTAACCTCAGATACTCAAAAGAATGGGTTGTGGGTATATTGTATTCTACGAAGTTGTTTGTTATTTCCTTTACCTTCCTTTTAAATCCAATGCATAGGACTTCTGCGCTTACCACTAGCGGCTTCCTGGTTAAAAGGTTTGTATATTTTGGGATCCGTTCTTGACCAGTCTTTAATATTTGTTATTATTTAACATAGCCTCCTCTTTTGTTTAAAAAAATTAAAAAATTCTAATCAAGGAATAATATATGTCACACTTATCAAACATAGTGCATTATGGCAGGCAATTTTGATTCTTTCAACTGTTGCTTAAAAAGTGTATGAGGGGCTTCAAACAATTTGTGGAAAATTTCCATGATCTTTTCATTAAATTTTTCCATGAACTTTGTGACGCTCCTTTGTACTTGTATATTTCTTTATTGATTTTAGACTTGGTGCCTTTCTGTTGTGATAGAAGATTTCACTTTCTTTCCATTTCTTCTTCCCTCTCCTTCTCCTCCTAATATATTTTTGTCACTATCACAAATTTTCAGAAGAAAGATGAATCTGTCTGCTCCTGCAAAGATTTAAAGCCTCTCAAACCTTAAACAGGATCACTGTGAGTCAAAGCTAACTCCATGGCACTTAACAACATCATCACATGTTTTAGTCTCTGTTAAATCAGTAGTATTATGTGATTATGTTTCCCTTCTTGAACAATTGTTTGTTTTTTCTTAAATATATCTACGGCATAATTTTTCCCACACCATTTAATGGCTTCTTATTGTAATTTTCCATACAGATAATTGCCGATTTTATTTTTACCCTAGAAACTTCCTTTTTGAAGCCTTCCATCTTGGTGTGGTGCTGCAGGATAATGCACTGGACTGCAAGGTTTAAACCACAGGTTGATGGTTCAAACCCACCAGTCACTCCTCAGAAACCCTATACAGGTTCACTATGAATTGGAACCAACTTGACAGCACTTAACAACAACAAATCCTTTTGCTGTAATTTGGAATGGTTCCTTAGATTTACTTCAGAGCTATTGTCCTAAGAATTTTCTTCTATTTTATTTAAAAAAAAAAAAAAAAAAATCTACTTTACTGAGTATAATTGACATACAATAAAATGTACCAATTTTAAGTGTACCATTTCAATGTCTTTTGGCAGATGTAAACACCCATATGCATAACTACCACTACAACCAGGAAGTAAAACATTTCCATTCCTCCAAAAAGGTTGCTCCCTTCCCTGGGCAGTCATTGGTCATCATACTCTATGTAACCAAGTTCTCAACAGAACATTGGTCTGTTCTCTGTGTCTGTTTGGTTTTTATTTTTCTAGAAGTCCAGAAACAGAATCATAGTATGTACTCTTTTGCATGAGGCTTCTTTTGCTCTTTTGCATATTTTTGTGATTCATCCATGCTGTTAAGAGTATTTTTTCTTATTTTTCCTGTGTTGGATTTTCAATTTCCTGTATCTTCCTCCTTTTTAGTTTACACCCTGATTTTGTTAACAAGGAGCTCTGGTAGCGTAGTGGTTACGAATCGGGCTGCGAACCTTAAGGTCAGCAGTTCGAAACTACCAGCCGCTC